GAGGCTTTCAAGGGGCAACGTCTTAAAAAGAGTATTTCACTTAAGAGCAGAGCTTTTAATGTATTTGAAAAATGAGAAGTCCCCATATGAAAATCAATTTTCCGATTCTATTTGACTTCTGAAACTAGGTTTCCTTGCTGATATTTTCGAGCAATTAAATATTTTGAACAGTAATTTACAAGGTCGCGACATTAATATAATTACAGCCACAGATAAAATTAAGGAGTTTCTAAGAAAAATCGATATATGGTCGACCTCACTTGGCAAAAAACACCTCGATTCATTCCAGTGCCTTCAAGAAATTATGGAAAATGTATCCAGTTACAGTGCTTCAAATTTCGAACAAGTTTTTGCTGACATGCATGTTACTTTGTTCAATTTAAAACAACAGCTCTGTGATTATTTCCCCGAAGAAATTCAAAACAGTTACGATAGTTGCAGATGGATACTAAATCCGTTTTTAGCCGATTCCTTTCAGCATATTGAAATACCAATAAACATGAAAGAAAAACTTATTGAAATATCAAGTGATGAAATGTTGAAGCTCCAATTTTTTTCCCAGAACTCGGACCAATTTTCTACCAAAAAGATTCAGAAATACCCCCAGTTGGCGAGTGAAGCTGTAAAATGTTTGGTTCCACTTGTAACATCATATTTGTGTAAGTTAAGTTTCTCGTCTATGACTGCCATTAAAACAAGAGTTAGAAATCGTCTCGTACTTGAAAATGATATAATTGTGTGTGTCTCAAATACACAGCCTAGATTTAAAAGATTAATTTCACAGAAACAAACAGGCGCATAGCTCTCATTAAGATTATAATATTTGACTTTGTTTTACTCTTTTATTTTTACGGACTTTAATATTTAGTTTTATATTTCGTCTGATAATTAATTGTTATTTCTATTTACGGCGTTGTTAAAATAAAAATACATGATACAACAAAGTGATGCTTTTATCTTACTTTTAAAATGTTCGGCGACCTCCCTAGTACCTAATGGCGACCCTCACTTTGGGAAACACTGACTAAGTGATGCTATACCATATCGTCCATGTAAAGAAATGCTTTGTCCGGGGTTAAACCTGAAAAAGCTATTGAAATCATCATTAGTTAGTAGTTACACCGATATTTTCTTTGTCATAAACAAACAATCGCATTGAGCAATAGGCAATTAATAATATTATTAAAATGATTTGATTTCTGGATGCTTAATTAAATCCTGTTACAAAAGTATGCTTTTAATCCTGCGCTAAATATTTATACAAATTGTTATAAATTAACAAAATTCAGTTTTAAAAATATTAAACACATATTAAAGTGTCATTTACAATAGTTCCAAAGTGTGACTTTAAATTATTTTTAATAGCATATAGAACATTTCAGTAACAAAAACATTCTTTATATTTACCGTCAGAGCATTTCATTACGTTAGTCCAACTCAAAGCGAAAACAAGGTAAATCTTGCTCCAACCCTGCCAGTCTCTTTGTAGAAATAGAATCTCTCGAAAGTCAGTCTACGCCCGTAATTAAGGGATACATGTAACTTAATTAAAATAGAGCATCCTTCAGTAGGTTTCATGCTGCGGACTACCGACTGACACGAAGAATGTTAAATTGGAGGAACGTCATAGCTATACCGTTCGAACCTCTTTACAAATTCGCTACAATGGAGTGTATTATGTTTGTGTGTGTGTAATTACATTGAAGATCTTTATTTGGATATACAGTCATTCAGATCTTATTTAATAATATATTTAATTACTGTACGTCTGAAAGGTATTAGTACGGGAACATTAATCTGAAGTTAGAGAAGGAGAAAAACATGCTCGAATTCTTTTTTCGCCATAGTTACAATTTGGTATAACAAATAAAACTGTATTTATCAAGGTAACTCTTAACTGATTAGCTGGTGTCCCGCACACAACTCTGATTATGTATTTCAAAATAACACTTAAATTAAACTACTGTAAATTTGCAAACTATTTTTCTTCTTAGGCGGCGCCATGTTCCTAAAAAATATCGATCTCAGACATATGCCTCAGCAATACGACCCTACACAGCCACAATATGAAGGCTACTGGAAAAGACAAGAGATTTGAGCTTTTTCATGGAGTTATTTCATGACTCTTTTTCTTCATGACTTCAATTTACATGTCGTCTTGTTGTCTTTTGTCTCCACTGTAATTGATCGAATTTGTCTGCCTGCTTTCCCTGTTTCTACAATCTATTTTCCAATATCTTTCAGTTCGTGTTCCAATATCTTTCAGTTCATGTCACACTCGTTCTAATGAGGCGATACCCAAAGTTTGAAGAGAGTATCTATCGTAAACTTTTTTGCCGACGGACATTCTAACTAAAATATCTGAAGTGATATTTTACGTAGCTTCATTTTAATTCGTTTTTTTGGATAACACCTTTGCGGTGTTTGTATAAAGCTATCAGTTATTGTCTGACCTAACTTAATAAATAGCAAATATTTAAATCTGAGGGCTTACCCTATGGCTTACTGTTATTTTATCTATCAATGAAGGCACTAGAACTAACATACAATAACATCACAGCACTATACTCTGCATTTTACATTAAACTGTTATACATTTACACTAACTCAAATGTTCTCTTGATTACTTCGGTCACAGTTTCCATGCCCATGTCCTGGTGGAGGTTGCATCAACATATATATCAAGGAGCATCAACAATGTTTCTCAGTACTTTGTTTTAAAATCTCTGGATAATATATAGATTACTAGCTTTGGTACAGCCCCAGAGTTGGCACCTAAATACCCATACTGGTCTCAGTACTTCCTTGTAAATAGATAATTTATTATGAATGGATAATGTTGAATTTGTTCCAATCAACCAATACAATTTCTTATATCTAATATCAATCTTATTATTCTTATGTCTTTTCTCTTTACTTTTTGACATGGACTTTTCAGCGCAGCTTCGCGTCTAAGGTGATGCCCAAGTATTTTGCTGATGTTGAATAAAGAACTTGGGTTTCATTTATCCTAACTGGGAAATTTTAAATTTTTTTATTTGTAAAGTTAATGTGTGCAGATTTAGTCTGATTTAATTTTATTCGCCATATTCTGTGTACATCCAATACAAAGAATGTTTTCTTCATTCGATGTATTTTATTTACTGATAGTTGCAACTTATCAGTCGTTTCTTCACTAGTGTCTCCTATCTCTAGTATGGCTGTGCCATCCGCGAAGGTGCCAATAGTGTTTTGTTTTAGCTCTGGAATGCCACACGTATACAATAGTTACAGGACTGGACACTCCCTTGTGGCACGCTAGCTTTGATCTCCCTTAAATTGGTGTATACTTCTTCTTATTTTCTTACTTAACTTAATCTATAGTAGAATGTTGATTTCTGAAACCAAATTGATGATTTGGTGTGAGATTTTTTTTTCTATTATTGTTTTAATATTGTCAATAGATGTTTTTCAAATAGTTTTGACATCACCATAAGGAGTGATATTGGTCGATAGGATGTCACTTCATTAGGAGGTTTACCTGGTTTGGCGATTATAATGACTTCGGCTGCTTTCTAGAGAATGGGAGCATATCTTAATCTAAAAGCAGCATTTATTGGGTGTGTCAGCTTAACTATGGCTTTTCTTGGTAGATTTTTTAATAGTTCTCCTGTTATGAGATCACATCCTGGAGCTTTCTTAGGATTTATATTCTCTTTTATGTCTGATCTCTGTTAATATTTCTCCAAATGATGTCAACGTTTCCTCAGTTTGGAATGGTTCTTTCCATCTCAGTTCTTCACCATCATTGTCGTTGAATTTGAGCATATTTTCTAAATGATCTACAAATAGTTCTGCTTTCTGTTCGTTACTTCTAGCCTAGTTGCCATTTTCTCTTTATTCTTTTTGTTGCTTTCCATAAGAATAATCTGGGTTCTGGTCAGCTGTTAAATTATTTAAAAAAGAATTATTTGTTAAATTTTTCATATTCTGTATCTCCCTTTTTAGTTTTTGTGTAGCATTATTTATACTAGTTTTGTCTTGTGGAGCTCTGTATTGCTGCCATTTTTTTTTAATTCCTTTTTCTACTATTAGTGCTCCGATTTCTTTTGGATAGTTGTTCCCTTTTATTCTAGAAGTATATTTCTTATTGTGGGAGTATTTTCCGAAGCTACCTGTTGGATATTTTTTATAAAAACTTCTAATTCGTCATCAAGTTGCCTCGTGTTTCTCAATGGCACAGCAAGATTAATTTTGTGTTCAAGATTTATTTTGAAGCTCTTTCAGTCAGTTTTTTATTAGTCAATATTGGATTAAACTCTTTTTAATCACTGTATTACTCATAGTTAAAATTATCGGTGATTGATGAGACTTCATGTCCTAACCGTCATTGATATCCAGACAGTTAGCTGAGATATTTTTGTAAATAAAGAAATGATCAATTTGAGTTATTTTGTCATTAATCTTACTGCGCTTTTCTAATATCATTTTTAATGTAAGATCAGTTTCTTTTTCTTGTTGCGATGATGCATGTCTTCTTGCATTCTTTGTTACATCGCTGTAACTTCTATTTTTACTGACCTCTGCCGTTTTTAGTTCTTCACTGAAATAAATTCATTGAAATAAAGATTAATATTAAAACTTAATAACTCAGATTTTATGAATATGTGCTGAGAATGACAAAAACAGAATAATTAAACATGCATGATAAATTCTCACGATTTATCAAAGAATAGGCGATCGTAAGTAAACGAGGTCAACTTCTCGACGACAATAACAAGAAAACAAACCTTTTTATTAACTGAATATAGAAAAAATAAATTGACTCTCTAAAATAACTGCTGAAATTTAAAAAGTGTTGTTTATGTATTACAAAATGAGTTATTTATTATTTATAAAAACTGTACTTCTCTTGACAAAGTTTAAACCACGAAACTTTGTACTTTTATTACATTAAAATAAACTTTTTGTAAAGCTTTTGAATCGGGTCCATTTAGTAATGAGTTTTTGTGCTCTTTCAGGACTGGACATTACAAATTAAGTTCGTGCAGCAAAGAGATGCCGGCTTGTACGAGTGCCAAGTTTCCTCTCATCCGCCCATTAGCATCTTTATTCAGCTAAATGTAGTTGGTACGTTCTTGATATTAATCTCTAGTTGTTTTTAATGTGTAACATGTTGTTGTGGCTTTGAAAGCTTCATTGAAATGTTTAAAGTACGTGACAGAAAGTGTAAATTATTTCAAAAATAAAGTTTTATTATAACAGGCATACACTGTGGAAAAAATATTGTCATTTAAGAAAAATTTCGGTAATCTCATGTTTTTGACAGTTTTTATTAAAAAACAAATTAATTTCGTAAAAATATGGGAAACTGAAGAAACCAACAATTTTTGGGAGTTTTTCAAAAATGCTGAGAAATATTAATTTATTAGTAGTAGATAATATTTTTTCTACACTGTATTAACTAAAATGTGTTATGTACGCTGGGATAACTATTCTAGCGTCAAGACAACTTTATCAATTAAAGTTTTATAATATTATACAATTTTTTATATTTTACTCATATTATATATATATACTATAACTATATAACTATAACTATTTTCAGTTGTAACATAGTTTACTAACGATTGCTTAAAGAAAACAACGTTTTTGTCCTTTAAAGTTTATTAAAAATAATGGAAATGAAGAATTTTCCTTTGATATACTAAATATTGAAAAGGGACAATTTTAATTTGATGTGCTTTTTGTTGAAAAAAAGAAATTTTAAGAACTTCAGTAGCGAGTATTCCCTCCTCTGGCAGTGATAACAGCTTGCAAACGACGAGGCATGCTTTGGATCAGATTTTGGATCACATTCTGCGGAAGATTATTCCATTCTTGCACCAATATGTCGCGAAGCTCTCTCGAATTTCTGGGGGCGGCACATGACTCCGTAAACGTCTCTTCATCTCATCCCAAACATGTTCTATGGGATTGATATCTGGACTGCGAGCAGGCCAAACAAATCCTGTGATTTGAACCTCGTCAAGATACTCAGTAACTATCCTAGCAGTGTGGGGCCGTGCATTATCATGCATAAACGTTGCGTCGTCTGCAAGAATAACCATAAACGGTAAAACATGGTCTTCCAGAATCTGTGTCAGGTACCTATGCGCTGTCAATGTCCCATTCTCGATAAAGACTAACTCCGTGCAAGCATCAAACGATATGACTACCCATGCCATAACTGACCCTCCACCAAATGGACGACGCTCGGTAACACATGCTTGAGCATATCTCTCGCTTGGACGTCGCCACACTCTTACACGTTTGTCTGAGCCCGTAAGACAAAATCTCGATTCATCGGAAACCAGTCGGACTCCAATCCTGCATTGTCCAAACCAAGTGTTCTCGTGCAAAATTCAATCTGGAAATTCGGTGTTCACGGGAAAGCGGCGGTCCAGTTACTCTAGGTCGACAAGATAAACCAGCAGCATGAAGTCGTCTCCTAACTGACCATTCACTTATGTTTAGATTTCTTACTTCTTGCAGATGATTTCGAAGAGAAACTGCCGTGATTGTTCGGTTTCTCTAAAGCACTAGAAACGACAAAGCGGTCATCTCTAGCTGTTGTAACCCTGCCTCGACCTGAACCAGGTCTTCGAGTAAGCATACTGGTCTCTTTGTACCGTTGCCATACTCGTTGCACACTCGAGAGACTTACACCAACGTTTCTCGCTGATCGTGGCCATCTTCTAACGCTGCCACAATTCTTGCCGCCACAACAGAATTTATGCTCATTGCAATACACTGACAGTGACAACAATACACAAACAATTTTGTAATATCGACGATAAAGACGTAAGGATCATTTCAAACCTCTACCAAGAACAAAAGGCCAAAATCAGAATAAAAAGCAAAATATCTGGAAAAATCAATATCGAGAAGGGAGTAAGACAGGGATGTGTCCTATCACCTTTGCTGTTCAATGTTTACTCTAAGAAGATATTTCAGAAAGCTTTGGAAGGCACCACGGATGGTATAATTATAAACGGGCAATGTATAAAGAACCTGCGATATGCTGATGACACTGTCATACTGGCAGATAATGCTGAAGCCCTACAACGCTTAATGGACCGAGTAACGACAGCCTGTAGAGAATTTGTAATGAAATTGAATACAAAGAAGACAAAAACGATGGTCATCAGCAAGCACCAAAACAGAAGGGTGAAGGTCAATGTCGACGGAACAGATCTGGAAAGAGTAACAAGAACAACGTACCTTGGAAGTAATCTTGATGAAACTTGGGACCACTCACTATAGATAAGAATACGCCTGGAAAAGGCACGTACAATGTTTTACAAAATGCAAAAAGTTCTATGCAACCGCCAGCTGGGCATCTCATTGAGAACTAGAATACTTAAGTGCTATGTTTTCTCCACCTTGCTCTATGGTGTTGAAGCCTGGACAATGACAGAAGCAACACAAAAAAAATCCAAGCATTCGAACTCTGGTGTTACCGTAAAATGCTCAGAATATCCTACATGAGCCATACGACAAATGCGGAAGTCTTGCGGAGGATGAATAAGGAAAGAGAGCTTATGCTTATAATAAAAGAACGGAAAACACAATATTTTGGTCACATCATAAGAAATCAAAAGTATGAACTGCTCCAACTTATAATCGAAGGCAAAGTCAATAGCAAAAGAGGACCAGGAAGAAGACGCAACTCTTGGCTTAAAAACCTACGGCAATGGACAAACATGACCTCCATAGAACTATTCAGGGCTGCTACAAATAAGATTAAATGGGCAAATGTAATGGCCAACGTCCTTAAGGATAAGGCACCGTAAGAAGAAGATCGCACAATTCCTCTAATTACGCATTGCAGTAAGATACTCTTACACATAATTCTCGAGAGGATAAAGCCCTTTTTACTACCTAACATTGCGGAGGAACAAGCAGGTTTCATCGCCGGACGTGGTACTAGAGAACAAATTTTAAACGTACGGCAGATTGTAGAAAAATCCAGAGAATTCAACATCACAACATATTTGTGCTTCATAGATTATAGTAAAGCTTTCGATTAGGTCAACTGGAGTAAAATGTGGCAGGTTTTGTCTGAAATGGGAGTCTCCAATCATCTGATACTGCTAATTAAAAGCCTGTACAATAACAATTATGCCAGAGTTAGAATAAATGGGGAACTAACCGATAGTTTCAGGGTCACAAAGGGCGTGAGACAAGGCTGCATACTAAGCCCAATTCTATTTAACATCTATGGTGAATGGATAATGCGGAAAGCTACTGAGGATTGGAACGGTGGCATCACCATTGGCGGGCTTGAGATATGCAGATGATACTACTATCCTTGCTAGTTCTGAAGCTGAATTGATTCACCTGCTACAACGGATAGAAGACTAAGCTTAACGATGGGCCTTAAAAGAAACAGAGATAAAACGAGAATTAGGATAATTGACAGAGCTAACAACAATCAAAATCATCTGATCGTGATAAACAATATCGCTGTTGTAGATAAATTTGTGTATCTGGGCACATTAATAACCAACAATGGAGGCTGTACTGAAGAAATAAAGCCATATAAAATATGACAAAAAGAACATAGATGTATTTGAGATGTACTGCTGGAGACGAATTCTGAGAATACCATGGGTATTCTATTCTATTTATTCGAAGAACAAATGAATCCATACTGGACCAGCTAAACATAAAGAAAAGAGCAAGAACATAAATATCAGAACAAATAATAAGCTATTTTGGACATGTGCTTCGAAGAAATGGTCTTGAAAAACTTGCCATCCAGGGAAAAGTAGAAGGCAAAAGAAATAGAGGTAGATCTCCCACACGATACACGGACCATATTGTTGCTACCATTGGCGCTCCATTGTCAGAATGTGCTAGAATGGCAGAAGATAGAAAAACGTGGAGGAACATTGGGAAATTTAGCTAATAGCTTCATGATATCACGATACCTGCATCAGGTTAACGACTAAGAAGAAGAAGAAGAAGAAGAAGAAGACACTGTCTTTATCATGTTGTGTTAGAGTTTCTATAAGTTCTGTGTATTTTACTCGATCAAACGCTTTATCTTGACATTTTCGTAGTAATATCTGAAGGCCAAATAATGAAGCTAGTGAATAATAAGGGTTAAATGTAATGGCAAAACAGTGAAATCTTTTTGAATCTGTTTTAGCCCATCATTAATTTTCATATTTAAGTGGGGTTGATATGTCGTTAGGTCTTATTTTTTCTTTTCGCTTTTCGAGAAAATAATTGGTCTTAATTTTTTAAGGTAGTTTCTTGTTTAGTCGCTTTGTCGCTTTTATGACTTTTACGAGCCATATTAGTCATATTACATTTTTTAAACTATTTTCCATCCAAATGTGGAAATTATATACCTACATTACATAATTGTATTATCAGGTAAACCTAATTATTTGCATTGGATAGATGGCTTAATGATTTGCTGATTAATTGTAATAATACATGTTCATTGACAATTAAGTACCATTATGTCTTAATATAAACAGAATAATTTGCAGTATATAGAGTGATTGATTTATACTATTAAGTTCGACATTATCCATTGACTAAGGTTTTCATAATATTTATCTGTTTACTTACAATCGACACATTAAGTATATAAATCAGAATACTTTAGTCGTCTAGACAAAATCCATGACTGTAAAAATATACGAATAAGCTGAATTTTGCTGAGAATGTGAATTTTGGGACTCAAAAAGATCATAAAGTTTACCACTCCTACCCCCTAACTTCTCCCTAAAAGTTCCCGTTTTCCCCCTACCACTAGTAGGGGGGAAACGGGAAAACCTAATTGACCAAGAATTTGTACACCATAAAAGAAATCAAATACAAAATGTAGCGGAGATGTAGCTAATTTTAAACAAAAATATGCACTTTGTGTGCAATATTAGCACTTTTTACGTAGAATCAACTGTTCTCTCAGAAACAACGCTTGAAGTGACTGGCGGTTTTGAATATCAGTTCTTCTTCTTATGGTGTCTATCCATTACGGATGTTGGACACTAACATGGCTATTCTGACTTTGTTGACTGCTGCCCTGAAAAGTCCGTAGTGGTTAAGTTAAACCATTTTCGCAGGTTATGCAGCCAGGATATTCTTCTTCGTCCTGGACCTCTTTTCCCATGCACTTTACCTTGAAGTATGGTCCGAAGTAGGTCATATCGTTGTTCATTGTGCATAATATTGCCCAGGTATTCCAGTTTGCGACGTTTTATGGTTACGACTAGTTCGCGCTCTTTACCCATTCTATGTTTTACTTCTTCGTTGGTAACTCTGTCTATCCAGAAAATCCTCAACATGCGTCTATAGCACCACATCTCAAATGCTTCGAGTCTCTTCAGTGATGCTTCAGTTAAGGTCCATGACTCCACGCCATATAAAAGAACGGAGAATACGTAGCATTTTAGTAAACGAACTTTTATTTTCAATTTTATATCGTGGCTGTTAAAGATTTTTTTCATTTTGACGAAAGCTGATCTTGTCTTGTCGATCCTTATCTTAATTTCCGTCGATTGATCCCACTGTTCATTTAAGTTTGCACCCAGATAACAAAAGTTGGTGATTTGTGTTATAGGTTGTTGGTTAACTAGTAATTGACCAGGTGGTATCTTATTTTTGCTTATAACCATGTATTTGGTTTTTTTTATGTTAAAATAAAGCCCAAACCTGCTACTTACTTCTGCTACCCTAGGCACAAGTGTCTGCAGACCTTTAAGACTGTCTGCAAAAATGACAGTATCATCAGCGTATCTTATGTTGTTCAATCGTTCTCCGTTTATAAGTATTCCCTCGTCTATGTCCGTTAGCGCTAGGTTCATAATGTGCTCTGAATATGTATTGAACAATACTGGGGACAATATACATCCCTATCGCACACCTCTTTTTATATTTATGTCGTCTGTTAACTGATTCCCAACTCTAACAGCTGCAGTTTGTTCGTAATAGATTTTGTTTATTCTACGGCGATCTCTGCTGTCTAGACCAATTGAATTTAATATTTTCATCAGTTCGTTGTTTTATTCTATCAAACGCTTTCTGGTAATCAACAAACCACAAATAAATTTATATTTTACATTTTCGCTCCCGCGAGGGGGAGTGAATAGGGTTGATAAATATTTTTTGCATATTTTTAACGTCTCAAAATTGACATTCTCGGCAAAATTTAGCTGGTTTGTATAATTTTTAGAGGTCAAATCTCTGAGGAATGGAAGGATCTAAAAGGACTGGAACAATAAGAAAAAACCAGGAAAATAACTCATAATACTATCCCAACATGAAAAGTATTTGGCCATACATTGAATTGCTCTTAATAC